GGGGTCTGGACGCCGGCGGGGCTCCGCCTCTCCGGGCCTTCCCGCCACCCCAACCCCGCGGGAGACGGGGCTTGGGCCCCTCGGGAGGGCTCCGGGGCGCGCGCGTGGGGACGGCCGGGCCGCCCGGCGGGCATGCGCACCTTGCCGTCCGGGCGGGCGGGCTGGTGCTCCGGCTTCCGCAGCTGGTAGGTGCCGCACGCCAGCAGGCGCCGGCGGCCTTCCAGCGGGCACCACTCCACCGAGTCCGCGGTGTACTCCGTGTCCACCGCCTGCAGCAGCCGGACGCCACCGCCCGGCGGCCCGCCGTCGGAGGGCGCGGTGACGGCCGGGCGGCGGGGGCGGGGCGACGAGGCCAGGTTGCGAGTCAGGGTCGGGGCCGCGGCCCGGAGGCGGGGAGCGCGGGCCGGGGCGCGGCAGGAACGCACGGCCCGGGGGGCGCAGCTCCGCTTCCGCAGCCGCCTCCCTCCCGACGCCCTCCGGGGCGGGACTTCCGGCCGCCGTTGAGGCCGGGCTGCTGCGCTCCCTGCCGGCCTCCCTGCGCGGACCTCCACGGGCCCCACGGGCCCGCCGCGCCCCCGGCCCTGGCCGCCAGACCCGGGGGGCTTGGAGAGGACCACCCGGTGCCCCGCACGGAATGGCAGGCGAGCGGAGCGGCCGGAGGGAAGCGGAGTGCACACGGAGGCGCGCGAATGCCCGGGCATTCCGGGAGCCGAGTCCGGGGTCGGCCCGAAAGGGGCTGGGCCCTGGCAGCCCTCCGTCCCCCCAGCGCACCCACTAAGCCAAGACCTGCGGCGCATGGGCGGACGCACAGACCTGCCTGCCAGGACAGCGGAGAAAGGATGCAGGGCCAGCTGGGGTGCCTGACGTGAGCCGCAGGGCCGTCGGCACGAGTGGCCGGCAGGCGGGGGCCCAGGGGCGCCAAGAGCCAGCGTCGGGCCGAGGAAAGGGGCCGCCGGCTAGTTAGATTTAGGATGTAAGGCAGGACAAGCCGGCACAGCCATGGTCTGATTTGGGAGATTAAGTAGGTGCTGACAGCCATCGAGAAAACTAGTGCCCTACACAACGGGTTTGGGTTAGGCAAGTTTTGGACATGTTATGGATTCCATCGTGTCCCCCCAAGAAGATGGTTAAGTCCCACACCACCACAGAACGTGACCTTTGGAGACAGGGTCTTTGCAGAGGTGATCCAGTTAAAATGAGGCCTTGGGAGTGGGGCGGGGACTAACACCATATGAGTGCTATCTTCATGAAGGGGAATTGGTCAGGGACCCCCCCCCCCCCAGGGGAGACAGTGAAGGCAGAGGATTGGTGATGCATCTACATACAGGACAAGGAATGCCAGGGCTGCTACAAGCTAGGGGAGGCCTGGGACACTCCTTTCCTTGGGCCTGCAGGGGGTGCTGCCCAACACCTTGATTTGAGCCCCAGCATCCAGAAGGAAACGTTAAGCTCCTCGGTTGGTGATTCTTTGTTATGGCAAATCCGAGAACTCTTACGGCCGGCCACCTGGATACCTGGGTCTTCAGCCTGCAGTTTTGAAGCAGGGCTGTGGCTACAAACACAGACATGCTGATCAGCAGCTTGCATGGCAGCTGGAGCAGGGAAGCAGAAAGCAACAGGACATTCTGAAAGGGCTGAACCACATTATCTGCTACAAAAAGGCTCAGGTCCAGCAGCCCCGCGCCACGCTCCACCCAGGTTAGAAATAAGCCCCACATTTTAAACAACAATGTTGAACTTTCATAGACGCTCTCAGGTTTATGGCTACAAAGATCAAGAGGTTGTGGCCACCAGGAGAAGAGAAACCAGGGGCTGGGTACCACGGGACAAGGGGAAGCAAACAGGTAAAAAGTCCGTGGACCCAACAGCCCCTTCACGACAGCATCTGCTCCAGGGGCCATGGTGGTGACGTGACCAAGGGAAGGAACCGACATAGGGGCAAACTCTAGACCCAAGGCCACCTTCCCAGCTCCAGCCTTGGGCCCTTCCACAGCACTGGGCACGTGGGCACAGCATGGTCAGATCAGGGATGGTCACCTGCTGTAGCTCCAGCTCCCAGTGGCCGTGGACAGCGATCATGGGTCAAGGCTATTCCAGATAAGCCAAGAGACACGGTAGCAAGCACCCCGGTGTCAGGACCCAGTGTGGCACGTTGTGGTCAGCTGAGACCCTGGGCACTTCCCTGTCCATGTACTTTTCTCACCAATAGCTGACCACAGAACAATTTACTGGTCAGGGGACGTGACAGGCGGAAGTGTCAACCTGGCCACTCCCCAAAGGAAACAGGCAAAACCCACAGCCTACAGCCTAGTGCCTCTTTGTCCCAGGAGCCTGTTTGAAAGCAATTGCTGAGCACACTCGGGGCCCGTGCCTGGGTGACCACCTAAACCCCAACATGTCAGCCTACACAAGCTCCCCACCTCAACCTTACTGGCCAGAGCTGGCCTCTGCAAGGAGTTATCCCAGCCTGGGGAGTGTCTGAGGGTCAACCCAGCTGTCTGTAGGGACGACTGTCTCAGGATTGCACATATCTCCCTAATAGCTTTGAGCCCCTTGCGGATCACCCAGAGTATGGAGGGACCTGGAGCAGACCTCCCCCAACACAGGAGAAATGTCTGACCTGCAGGGTCCAAGGGGAGCTTCTTGGCGAAAACGTGTGTGGCTTTCTGCTCACCTTCAGAAACCCCTCCCTCAGAGTTAGGACTGCATCCGCCTGCTCCCTGCATGTTGCCATCACCTGTTTCCCCAGTCCTTTCTATATAGGACACTACCCAGGACCCCAAGTAGTGCAAAAGAAGCTACCGGAAGTTCAGCTCACAGACCAAAGGTCACCAGGGTGCTGTCCCCAGCCAGGGAATCCTGAAAGATGGCAGAAGAGATGCAAGAGGGCACGTGTAACAGGACCAATGAGGGCCAGGGACGGTCAGCCTTCATTCTCCCTGGAATCAAGGCCTCTGGAGCACTGGCAAGACCTGAGACCAGCCAGATGCTGGCCACACAAGCCCAGCTCAGTGCCCCACAGCTCTGCAAGGTTTACAAGGCGCTGCCCAGCCCTCAGCCATCCGTGGCTCTCGGGAGGGAGGGAGGCCCAGCCTGGGGACCACAGCCCAGCTGCTTCTGGTCACAGGAGGGACCTGCCCTGAAGCCCACAGCCTCGAAGCACAGGAGCTGGAGGATGGAGCAGAGCTGGGGCTGAGATCACTCCCTGCCCCCACAGGGCTGGCCCTAGGTCAGGAACAGGTGTTGGTCTTGCTGCAGCCACTGTTTCTCCAGAGGCCCACGAGGGAAACCCTCTGGGCGACCCCACAGCCCACAGCACAAGGGTGGAGGGCGGGAAGGAGGCGCAGGGGCCATTGCGAGGTGACTGCCCTTTACCCTCCCGGCAGACTCGAGTCCTCTGTGCCATGGCTCGTGCTCCGGGACTGCTTTAGACTTGCGACCATTTGGAGGATTACAGCAAATGATTCTATTTGTAATTTCTAACCCTTTGACTGCCCTCCCCCCAAAAAAACTGTACATGAGTTTACAAACATATTAACATATAAATAACGAGAAGCATCCTGGCGGAGCCTCCCCAGCTGTCTCTGCTCAACAATAAGACTTCGAGGGGAGCGCAGTGCCAGCCGCACACAGTGCCCACTGTGGGGCGCATTGCCGGCGGCTTCAGCACCACCAGGTCCAATCATCCAACTGTCCATGGTGCCGGGAAAGCCCGGTCATCGCTCGGGCTCAAGCTCGTGCTGGAAGGGGCGCCTCTTCTCCCGACAGTGCTTCTTGTGGGCAGGCCAGTCCTTTTGCTGGCACTGGGAGCCGCAGTACCGGGCTACCTGGCAGCGCCCGCAGATGTTGAACTCCCGGAGCTGAAAGGACACAGGACGGTCACGCAGAGGTCGGTGGTGGGGGCACCGAGGGGTCAGCAGGGTGCGGGGCGGCGTGGGTACCTGCTTCTCGATCATCGTGCAGGGCGGGTAGTGGCACTCGTAGTAGGTGCAGGAGCTCTCCTCCTCCTCTACCACGTCCCCGTTGGCGTTGTAGTACCGGGTCACGTTCAGGACGGGGAACTGCTCTTCAATGGGGTCCGTGGGCAGCTGCTGAATCGCAAGCCAGTATAAGCTCTGCTCCCTGAAAGGTAGAGGATGGTTCAATACGCTCCAGCCAGACATGGTCAAGGCACAGGTGACAATGACAAGACTCCAGGATGGACAAGTTGTTTCCTCCTGCTCAGGATACCCCTGCCCCAATTTTTGTAATGACGACCTGACTCTTCTTTGGCCCCTGACACTGCATACGCTCGTCTCCATGGGACATCAAGTATGTATTGGGTTGTCGGAAGTCATGACGCATTTTTGCAACAAAAAACAGAAAAAATACGTCATGACTTTTCCGACAACCCAATAGCACGTTCTGTCTTCCCACGAACAGGCAGGGTTGTTTCTGTCCATTTGTCAGTCTCGCTTACATGGGGGATGGATGGGCACGCAGCAGGTAGGGGCAGCGTGCGACCACAGCCTGGCACCCGGCCAGGACCAGGCAGCCCCTCTTCCAGCCTGTGCCCCAGTTTGGCCCTCCTCCCCTTTGGTGCTGTAAGCTGCTCTGCACCCTTGTGAACACCTGTCTTGTTTGAGCAGCCCAGACCTTGCACCTGAAGAACTCTACCTGACACCAGAGCTGAGATGCACTGACAGGCTGAGAGGGGCAGTGAGCAGCCCACCCCTGAAGCTGGGCTTCAAAGGGGCACCCCCAGCACTGAGACAGCAAGAGCAGGTTGACTATGCCCTCAACCTGTGGGCCAGGCCTGGAAGGAAGGCAGCCTTCTTCCAACACCATATACAAAAATTAATTCAAATGGACCAAGGACCTAAACATAAGACCACAAACAAACAAAACTCTTGGAAGAAAACACAGCACAAAAGCTGTACAGTGTTAGATTTGGCAATGAGCTCTCGGCTATGACACCAAAGGCACGGGTTAACAAAAGGAAAAATAGACAAATTGATTGGACTTCATGAAAATTTAAAAATTTTGTGCATCAAAAGACATTATCGAGGGCCGGCTGAGTGGCACGTTGGTTAAGAGCTGGCTTGGGACCCCAGAGGGCCCCGGTTTGGATCCCACATATGAGGGCCAGTGACACTGCCCTCTACAGCTAAGATGCTGAACAACAGCTCAACCTGGAGCTGGGATG